TATAAGTATTGCCAGCAGGCTTGCATACAATAAAAGAAACACGGCCCAAGAGCTGGAGAGGCCAAACTAATCCACTCATATTCTAGAAGTCAGTAAGGCTAGAACCATGCTGCCATACAGGTTTGAATTCTTTCATTTAAAGGAGTGAGAAGCGACCCCTCCCTAAGAGGGAGGGAGAGGGGAATCCATCTTCAAAATCAAACCAGAAATGCAACTTTCAGCTATTTCCAATCTGCTGGCAAGCTCTGACACTTTTTTTTCATCCCTTCCCTGCTAGGCTGAAAGTAAGCTAACCTCAATTACATAATTTTGCATGTTCATTCTGAGTACAGAGAGGCAGCAATGAGCTGGAAAACCCTGAATAGCCTATAGTGGAAGTGCTTGAACAGCCAAGGCAAGACACACATACAACCACCTTCTCCTGGCCAAAAAAAAAAATGCTATTAGATAATTGACACAAGTTCTCAAAGGCAAAGGTAGCCAATCCCATCCAAACATTAATGTTATGTATAAATATGCTTGCATTTATTGGGTGGGGGTGGAAATACTCATCACTTATCTGTACAGAAGTGGCTTAGCTTTTTAAGCTAAATTAGGCTGTCTAGAACTGCCTCATAAAAATTGTAGTTTAGGTTGAAAGGTTTTAAGCTGAAGTTTTTAAAATTAATGTTGTTAATGAAACAAATATATGAATTATACAAGAACACTAAACAGTGAACTGAGACTGGTTCCAGCTCTATACTGAGCATGGGTGTCCACAGGGTGTGGTCAAAAAAGTCAAGATGGTAGCCACAATGGTGTGATCAAAACTTGTGTTTTATGCCCATAAAAAAGGGGTGGAGCTTTGCTTTTTTGACCACACCTTGTGGACACCCCTGTTACTGAGTCACAAATCTTGATTTGCTACTGTACTAGGCAAGGTAGAATCAGTGCTATTATTGGCAAGTATTCCCTATGACAGCTTAATATTAAGTGGTTTCTCTTGGGTCATTCAGTCTGTTCTATAGATCTATGTAGAAAAACTAGCATCCCTCACAGATGGATGTTCGGCCTCTGCCAAAAGACCAACAGTAACAACAAGGTTTCAAACTTGCACTTATATTTGGCTCACTGAATATAGGGTGAGTTCTGGCTCTGGGAATCTCAGTGGTCTTCTTATGTGGAAAGTAATTCTCTTCCTGCCTTAATGAAACCTCTGCCAGCTGTTTCAGCAGGTGGCAGCATCTGGCTGCCTTTACTTGGTCTGGGCTCCCAAGCAGGGTTGGGCCTGGGTAGTACTTGGATGGGAGACCTCCAGGGAATACCAGAGTCATAGACTTAATTGGGAAGTCAAGAAATCATCCCAGAAGAAAACAGTGGCAAACCATTTTATATCGATACCAAGAAAACTACATGGATATGTCTGTGAAGCTACAAGAAGCCAATAGCAAGTCAAAGGAGACTTTAACTTAAGTAAGATGATATGGATTTAGCATTGCACTAAATCATATTGGTTCTAAACATGGCTTATTGAACAAGCCATAATAGCTTTCACATATGCTTAGATATAAAGTAAGGATTACAGACCACAATGGCTGTGCTATCACAGTAAGCCAAAACTGAACAAATCATAGTTGCTTTAGTTGAACATGTGAACCTGATCTGTTTGTCCACTGTCTAGTAAGTCAGTCGCACTAATTTAAAAGTCAAGGTGCAATTTTGCCAGGAGAACAGGGCAGGTGAAATGTTTATCCTTCCATTGGAGAGTTAATTTCTAAATATTCATGCTAGGTTTAAGCACTTTGGTTATAAAAACTTTTAATGCAATGAATTGTTTGGGCTTAAAGCGTAAACATTATGCATCTCACTTTCTGTTCTACCCAATCTTATTCCTCAGCTGCAGAGGGACCATGACACAAATTCAGCATTTCCAGAATTCTGAAGGCTGCTATTGAACCCTGTTAACTGGAACCAAGGCATGGAGAGATGAATCCAATTCAAGCTTCAAGCAACTTTAACTGAAGTAGAATTCAGTTTACACTTCGATTCTCCATGGGCCTCGGGAGTATGTTACCTCCTATTCCAATCAACAGAAATATGTATTTCATCAACAAAAATGAACACCAGTCAACCCTTCTCCTGGGGATTATACACTGTGCTCTATGATATAAGCAGAACTCCCAAGACACTAACAGCCCTCCTCTCCAACAACCTCAGTCGGCTTTTTAATATTTATTTTATCATCTGCCTGCAACTTCCACCTTCATTCACCAAAGAAACCTGAAATAACCCACAACTTGTCATCCAAAAGTGATCCATATGTGAAATAGGTTCCATATCATGACTGCTTTGAACAAGGAGAGAACTCAGATGCCTATTTTAATACTGGCAAACCCAAAAAATGGCTTCATACATAAAGGATAAAGATGCTTGAAAACCTGGACCCATTGTGGCCCCACTCCAGGAAAGGGTTGCAGATGGTACAGCTACAATCTGAAAGTTGAAATCACATCACTGCTTACTTATAATATCAACCTCAGCATTTGCAAGCGGAGGCAGGTTAGGTGAGGAAAAGGCACTGAAACTCCCTGCATCCATCTTAGTCACCCGGTTTCCTCTGTACAGTTTATTATCAAAGTACAGGCACACCTACAAGGATGAGAAAAGAAGCATGTCAGTGTGCAAGTCTTGTAATTAAAAGATCCAGCAGATTAAAACATATACACACATAAAGTTGACTTTTTTTCCTATACAATGAAAACTACTTTGGAGAGAGTTATAAATATAATTAGAGTTATGTAGGAGGGTTTTATCTCTTGGTTGCTTTGAAAAGTGCTGTGTCTGTTTTGGATTTTGACAACAAAATCCAGGTAAATTCTTTGTCAGGTTTCCTTCCAAGAACAGGTCTGGCAGCTCTCAAGGTTTTTGATGGACCTCAGAAGTTAAAGATATTTTTAAAGGGAGGTAGAATGGACTTTTAGTAATGTGCAAAAAAAATCTCCAGAAACATTGATGTTCCTGACAAAGCAGGTAAAATTGAGTTACTAGAGAGGCAGGTGGAACATGAGCCTACTTACATATCAGTCAGGTTTATGGGTCTTCTTCTGTCCAGGTTGTCATAACCTGTTGGTAGTTATGCCACTGCAGATTAATCCCAATGGAAACCTTTTGCTAAATAATTCCCAGTAGCCCTAGATCAGGGTTAGTGTTGAGGAATACTGAAAGCTATAGACCAAACGCATTGGGAAGGCCATAGATTCATTACATCTGAAATAAGCAGTGCATTTTCCTATCATACTTTTATTCTAGTCTTTCAAATAATTGGTAAACTTCAAGCCTAATGAAGTTGATTTTCTGCAGCCATTTGTTTCTTTGTGGCTGTATATTAAGCAATGTGACACTAAAGTAGAAGGATCTGATAGTAATAGTAACTTTGTGGTTTTTTAAAAAACTAATTGTGAAATATATAATCATAAAAATGATTGGGAAATCTAATGTCCTTATATGTACTGCAAGAAACTACTGTTTGTGATAATAAAGCTCACCAGCCCTAACATTCAAGCAGAATCTGCCTTCCTATAACTTGTTCTAGTTTCTCTAAGTGCTTCTTCAAGTGTGGTGCCAAGAACTGAACAATATCTCTGGACAACAGAGGTAGGAATCTGGCCAGTGCAAAACATAGAGAAGTTAGTTCATAAGTTCCCATTAGAATTGACAATGAAGATACTGAGGTGGTGGATAGTTTCTGCCTTTTAGGATCAACTGTCAACAGTAAAAGAATCAGAAAATACACTGCACATTAACACTTGATAGAATAGCAATGAAGGCCTTGGAAAGGATATTCAGACGTTGGGATATGCTTGTACCTACAAAAATCAGAATCGCACAGGCAATGATTTTCCTTGTGACATTCTACAGAAGCGAAAGTTGTACTTTGAAGAAGTAGGATAGAAAATCCTATTGATGCTTCTGAACTTTGGTGTTGGAGAAGACTGCTGAGATTGATAGCTAAGAAACTGAGCAAATGGATCATTTGCAAATCAACCCAGAGTTCTCACTCAAGGCACAAATGGCCAGGCTTAAATTATCATACTCTGGGCACATTATGCGAAGAGCTAACTCTCAGGAGAAGGCTCTAGTGCTGGGAAAGGTGGAAGAGAAGAAGACGACCAGCAACAAGGTGGATGGACTCAATTACAGCACTAATGGGTGCACTGTTGGAAGACCTGAAGGACCAGGCTGGGGGCAGAATTTATGTGGTCACTAAGAGTCAACACCAGTTTGATGGCACATAATCAATTACTTCTCACGATTTGGAAATTCCACTTCTATTGAGGCAGCCTTAAACTGCATTTCTCTTTTTAGCAGCCATATAATAGTGTTGAATCAATAGTCTTAATTTGAGGATTAAGTATTTTATAGTGTTATATATAATTTTTTAAAAATTAAAGTTTCCCTCCAATTACTCTTTTGTTGCTGTTTGCAAACTCTGATATTAATTTAACAAAATCAAAAGACTTCTGAAACAACCTCCCCATCACCCCTAGATCAGTGAGGATCTAGAAACTAAGAGAGAAAATGCAGCCCTTACAGGGAACAAAGAGTCTAAAAGCAAAAAAAAAAAAGGATAAGCAGACCTCAGGAATTACAAACTGTCCAGCAATCAACAGTGCCCCCAACAGGTTGGCTCTGCCGTCATTCCTCAGTTCATATATTGGTATCTAGAAGAGAGAGAAAGAAATGATAACCAATTGCTGTTCAAAAAAATCATACGCACTCAGCAGCAAGAGGGAGCGACTCCAGTTGACATAATATAAAGCGAGTGTAAAGCCATGCATAATTTATGAAACATTCTCTTAGTGCATGATTTATTGGAACATGGATGCATTTCTTCATCTCAACTATGGCAGATGGTGGAATTTCTCGTTTTGAATGTAAAATACTTTCTCCCACACCTCATGAAGTTATCCTTGAATTTTGCATACTCTTTACATTAGGGTGGGAGAAGGAATAATTCAAAACAGAAGAAAGATCACTACAATCCTCCCTCAACATCTAGCCTATTTCCTTTCATTTTATTTAGAAGCTTCAGCTAATGCAAAGTCAACTTCCCACCAGTAGTTCATTTTCCCGGGACAATCATGAACTGTCTTGTGGCAAGCAGTTAAATAGCAAATGGTCTGCAAAAATAAGATATTTTACTGGATCCTCCTTTTAATTATCCTTTCTTCACAGTAACCCCCATAAAGAGCTAAATTGATCCTCAATGGTGGTTAAATGGAAGGGATTCATTGCTTCTTTCCAAAACATTGTTCCCCAGTAGAAATCACTCCTTTAAAACTGTTGTAAGCCCCAGCAAGAATAATGCCAAGTATAAGGAGGAGCAGTTTGAATCAGGAAAAGGGGGAAGGTTAAAAAAAAAAAAAAAACCCTCAGCAGTCCCAGTGTCCCAATCAAATTAGATGACCTTCAGGATATTTCCAATAAAGAAAAGAACATTACACAAGGTCATGAATTGTCTACATCCTCTCTCATCACTGTATCCCATGTACAAATAGGGGTGGTAAGATTGTAATGAGTAGGAATTAAATAAAATATCTTCTATACTCAAAACTTATTTTCAGTACAACATATAGCTTGCTTAGTTTTCAAGGCAACTTCTTACCTGAGATCCTGTCAAGATTATGGTTTTACCCAGGTTCTCACACATGAAGGACAATGCTGAGGATGTATAAGCCATTGTGTCTGTGCCATGAAGGATTACAAATCCATCATACTTCTCATAGTTTGCCTGCCAATTCAAAACAAATTGATTGTGGTGAGAGAAACATTCAAAGGGACAAACTGATCAGTATTTAAATAATAAAGAGTGTTTGAGAACTGTGGGGAACAAGAAGGTATTTAAAGGTCAAGTTGAGGATGGACAGATTTCAGGCTTATTGCATTTATATCAATAAAATCAACACCAACCAGGCATAAAAGTAATTTATTTAGAATTAAATAACAGAGGGCAAGGTAATCTAAAAGCAATGTAATTTAGTTTGCTTTCTTTACCCCAACAAAATGAAACTGAGCTCTCATTTATAGCAGAGAGGGTCTTTCAATGCAAATGATACTAGAATTTGTTCCTTATGTCTCTACTTTCTAGAAAGCAGGGAGAGGGGCAAGAACTCAAAGAATCCATTGTCTGTCCAAATGGACACTTAAAAGGTTATGCCCAGCATGGTATCCATCAGATGAGTTGGATGTACTACCTCAGACTAAAGGAGTCCATGTCAGGTAGAGGACATCCAAGACAGAGGAAGGCTGATGGAGACCAATGATCTGATCTGTATCAGCTAGGTTTGTCTGTCCATGTAGAATAGATAAAAGACTTTTCCCCCATCCTCACACAAATGGGTGCTAAAAAATAAATTGAAAAATAAAACCAAAGGAAGGACTTGAAAAATCCCAGCAGGGGACAGCCCTTATATCTGACCAATGCAAGAAAATTCTGTCAATAATCTGTTATTTATTTGAGTATTCCTGTCTAGCTTCTAAGGAAAAACATAATTAATTCTTAAAGAATACAGACAACATAAAATCTAGTGAGGTTTTTTTTCAGTCGCTAATTATGACAACATTCAAAGACTTGTTCTTCAGTGTATAAATATTAATGATGTGTCCTTAACCAGAGGAAGACTGCTAATTAAGAAAAGCTTAGCAGTAGCTTTAAAACAGGAATGTTAACATATGTAAATGAATCGTATGGTCTGATTCCTTGTTCTTGCTTTTACTTTGGGGATTATACCATTTATGGGAGCAGACTAAGCAAACTAGAGCTATTGTAAGAGAGGATATGGAGGAAATGCCATCCTTAAAGATGCTAGATGCTAATGGAAGACTGCCCTCTTCTGTTCAAAGGCAGCACAGAAAAGAGAAAGAGAGAGAGAGAGAGAGAGAGATTTCTTTAAATAATATTAGAAATCTATATGGTCAAAGAATGAATGGACAATTTTTCTATTAGTTCCAGAGATATAGATGCAGTTGGATATATTTTATCTCCCAGATGGCTAATAGTAAATTCTAAGCTATCATTTGCCAATCTTAAAATAATATAATTAGTGGTATCCAGAATCAGACCATTGACTTTTCTGGTCCAGGACTAATTGTCTGACAGGCAATAGGTTTCTAAGTTTTCGAGCAAGCCTTTCTCATCACCTGACTTTTTTTAAACTGGAGATACCATGTCTATTGCCATTTTACTATGGCATCTGATCTCCCATAAGGTGGGAGACAACATTGTTTATATCTAATTATTTTTTCTGAGGTAGAATTGGCAATCATCTTTGTTTTCGTGTCTGAAATAATTAGTTTTCAATGGAGCAAAAAAAAAAAAAAGGATCAAAATCTACTGGTAACTGTCTAGGAGGCTTTCAAATTAGCAAGGATTTCTGGCTCCCTAATAACAGCAAGTATATTTGCAAATATTTATTTGCGATTTATTTATTCTTTTATCTGTCCAAGAACCAAAGTTCTCTGGGCAGATTACAGAATCATGCAAGACATTACAACAGTCAGAAACATTAATAGAGCAGGATGGATAAAAAGTCACAATCCAATATAATTAATTTTTTTAAAAGTAAAAAAAGAAATCTCTTCAATAGCTAGCCTGGCACTAATTGCTTAACTTTCTCAGTGTTCCTCTAGTGTAAAATATAAGCATTAAATGCCATCCTTCAAGTAGGCTTTTATACAGATCCATGGACTAATTTATTCAATTCAGTAATTGAATTCATCCAGTAGTAATGTATGGCTGTGAGAGCTGGACCATAAAGAAGGCTGAGCGCCGAAGAATTGATGCCTTTGAACTGTGGTGCTGGAGAAGACTCTTAAGAGTCCCCTGGACTGCTAGGAGGTCAAACCAGTCAATCTTAAAGGAAATAAACCCTGATTGCTCATTGGAAGGATTGATAATGAAGCTCAAGCTCAGCTACTTTGGTCACCTAATGCAAAGAGAGGACTCTTTGGAAAAGACCCTGATGCTGGGAAAGATTGAAGGCAAAAGGAGAGAACGGCAGAGGAT